TTACAGTACTTGGAAGTGAGCCTCGGAGAGGGGAATATATTCTAGAGGATTTAGCCGTAAGGATGGGAACATATCTGGAGATGGATGAGAGCAATTCTTGTCCTCTCTGGCGTTTCTGACCTCTCCTGAGCTTAGCCCTAATGTCACCTACCAGCAGTTTTCCGATGCCATTTTGAATGTCCTCCCCCTCTCCGCAGGGCATGAGCGCCGCTCCAATTTCACTTCGAAACTTAAAAGCAGCGATTACGATAGATCTCGGAGGGGTTTGGAGGGGACGTGGGGGTCTCAATAGTACGCCAATGGCGAAAAAAGCAAAGAAATCCGTCAAAAATAAGCAAAATAGTACCCCTTTGATTGCCCTTTCATTTTCGACCATGGATGAGCGACGGTAAAGAATGACGTTGTTCGGACGTGTTAACCCCGATAGCCGCATGAGACCAAGCTGGGATTGCCGTATGTGTGTTTGGAAATGATAGAATGCAGCATGATAAGGGAATGTTCTGATATCGTTCTTATCATGATGAGCATTGAAATCCTATTCTATTTGTTCAGTCCAGGGTGGCTAGCGGTGGCACACCGTGGCTACTTATGATCAGTGGAAACGAACAGCTCCCATGCAGCTAGCGAACAATTTTCATAAAATTGATGTGGCCGTTCATGTTGTTGGGAGGAGGCATTGAGGTGAGTGAGCCACTCACAGTACTTGGGACTCAGCCTTGGGGAAAGAAGCTGTTCCGAGGGGAGCGAGGAAGCTTGCATCCTTTGTTCTCCCTGCGTTTCTCCCTCTCTTCGGCTGAGTTAGTTCACCTACTAGCGGTTTTCACCCTCAAAGCCATCAGCGCCTCACTGCGAATAACTCAAGATTTGCTAGAAACCTTAGCAAGTTTCATAACCGCCTTGTACCTAGTCGTGGTCTAGATCATTCCCGCGCCTTTTCTGGGCTGTGGTGAATAGATCGAGCCAACCGACGTGAGGAGCAAAGGGGGTGCGCAGGGACCAAAGCTTCTACGCTCAAATGCGAACGTTTGGGTATTGTTTTCTAAGCACAACTGTGGTGTCGGAAGAATTTACTGAAAGGTGCTCACAGATATCGTCAGCGTTTCCAACTGTGATCAACTCTTCGCTTTCAGACCATGAATATGCTGACGCCGATGCGGCTGACATCTCATCGCTAACTGAAAAGCAGAGGCGAGATACGAGAGTGTCGCTGTGGGTACTGGAGCTGGTCTGGTAGAAGCACTCACAGTGATTCTCCTCTAAACAGAACTCCATCCGTGAAGTTTGAGTAGTTCGGAGTGAAATGAAATCACTAGCTATAGGCACTTTTATATTTTCGTGATGTGTCGTTATCATCTTCGCATGATAAAAAAAGCCTTTTACCCGTATGCGAAAGTTCGGTGAGGTAGTGATAAGTGGTAAGCGATAACGGATACGTGTACCATCTTGGCAAAGTCGGAGCATGAGGACCATGAAGCGTCCATCCTAATTTTCGTTGGACCAAAACAGCGTTCCGCTGGCTGAGGTGGTTAGTTAACACAACAAGCGAAATAGCATCGTCAATAGTCGTTGGAACCTATCGACGTCTTTCCAATACGGGTGCAATTGTCGAGGACGTATCAACCCTTTCGCTCACAACCAGCGTGACACTTGCTTAAATTCATATCGACGCTGCCTGTTGAAGCCGCACTGGGAGGAGTTCATTTCGCGTTATTGCGCGTCCTAATGGACATTCCGAGACCTGGTATGTGTTAGACCAGATTTGAAAGTAGATAGGGTAATTGTTCTCAGGTAAATGGAAACCAAGTGGTCCCCACTGACAGCGACGAGTGAATCAGATGCAAGCTATTCAATCGGACCACCTCCATACGGTAAGATACGGTAAGGAGGACAGGTCGACCTGCGAGAGTGATGCAGTCTCCACCCATAGAATCTTTCAGCAATGTGTTTTAAAACTTCTTAGCAGTTTAGTTTGCCTTCTTTAGCACTGATCGACATAACTACGCCCATTTTGCGGAGCAATTGCACGTATTTACGTACAGTTGCGATGCCAACATGCTGTGGAGTGACGGCGAGTGTGCTAAATTGGGATTTTATGGTAAAGAGGTAAAAGGTGAAAGAGTACGGGTAAAAGAAGGGGTTACAACATACCTGGGCTAATATCGCAAGAACAACCGATAATTTTGATACGAAAAGCCTTGACTTTTGACTTTGACTTGACTTTTGACTTCAGACTTTCTGAAAATTCTAGGAAATCTGACACAAAATTCCGAGATGTTTACCCGTCAAATAAAAAATATAAACAAAAATAAATAAACAAATAGTACAGCAAAAACAAATAACCCTGAAAGTCCTACCTTTCATATGGGATCTGAAGGCATATTCTGCAGTCATCTGAGTGATGCAATCGCGTCCGGTTGTGCAGTAGACCGATCATGGTTCGTGGATGAGGCTACGTGGCTCAAAATTCCGCGCCACTAGCAATCAGGGTCAACCGTCACGTTGGACCAATTGCGAAAATTTTACGACCCCCCCCCTCCCCCTTCTAGAGGGCCTCGATACAACCCTCCCCCCTCAGGGTCAACCCTTCACCACGACCCCCTCCACCACCATGAGACTCAGGATGCTCCCCTAATACGACCACCCTTCTCCCCTACCCCAATCATCATCCGCGCACAACACCTGCCAACCAACGCGACCAACAACCCAATCCGTTCCATGAAAAATCCTTCCATTACTCGAACACTAACGCTGTCTCCAACCTTGCGAAATACGACCCCCCCCTCTTTTCAATCGCCCAAATACGACCCCCCCCCACCTCCTCGTTGGACTTTGTCCAACGGACGGTTAACCCTGCTAGCAATGCGTGCCTTATCATTCGTGCCACGCCGATGTCTGCGTCTCTTCGATCTCCATCCTTCTTTATTCCGCCCGCCCTTCCGGTCACCGTCTTAGGCCTTCCTCTGCCAAATGAAACCCAGTATAAGGACCCTTCAATTTAAACGCCTTTCCGTCGTTTCTTTTCGCGTAAAGCTCTGCCACTCAGTGTTCGCCGCCCCTTTTTTTTACAAATGCGATTCTTTTTTTTCGCTTGCGGCAACGCTCGAATCTAATATTACTATTTTTCTAAGAAAGCGTATTTCTTTCTGTTCAGGCACTTGAAGAAGATTAAGAAACTATTTCAAACAAAGAAAAGACTTGCAAGGCAACCATTGATTTTTTGTCTGAGGCGAAAAAAAGAGGACTATGACAACCTTCCAGCAGAATTATGAAAACCGTTTCAGCAAACACTTTTGACCGCCGCTATACCTTTCTTCACTGGTGGACGATATAGCACCTTAACCTCCTCTTCCCGTAGTATCATATCACGCTAGAGTGGCATGTGCCTTTAGGACGGAGGAGCGATCAGTGTAACGTGAGTCTTCTAATTATTAAATTTTCTCACCAACATAACGTGAAATATGTAGAAATGTATCCTCGAGTCACAACTGAATAGCACTTCACCAATGTGGCAGTGGACCCCCCCCCCTCCCCCTCCAGGCGATGAGTTCAATGTCCACTGTGTTGGAGTCTTCTGGAGTGATTCCTAACCTAATGGAGCAACAGGAAGAGCCAAAGAGGGTGGGTGGAGCGTAATTTTAGATTTTGGAACATGATCGCGCGTCAGCATGACGATTCAGTCCACAAAACAGCTAACAACTTTAGCCTGATGAAGGCTTTTCGTTTCTCGCAATTCCCCAATCACAGCAAGAGTTGCTGAAAACTATGTGAAGAAGGACGATTTTCTGGAGGAAATAATGTCATTCCTTTTCCTGTCCAAAGGTAACAGGTGTTAGAGCATAAAGGAGTACGTACGATACCTGAGTTACCACGAGAAAACAATATTCTTTCAGAACTGGACCCTTCTAAGTCCCACCCACTGTGGGCGGATTCTGACCTAATTTATAGTATGGGCTCTGTACCTTGCCCAAGTTCCATTCCTTCCATGCTTTACCCAGCTTCTCTGAGCAGTTTTTCAGGTTTTGTCCCTACAAAAAGTTGCAGCATTCCCCTTGCGAGCTCGATTGCACCATCCTCGTGCTACTGGTTTTTTACCCTCCCACTCTGCATAGTTTCATGTTCTGAACTTCTATCGCATCTCGCTTCCGATAGAGGCAGAATAATCAGTTTGTACTGAAGACCCTGAACAATTAAGATCACCTCCCTGTTCAAAAACCGTTTCCGGGCCACGTCATTCTTGGCACCGTGTCGGTAGCGACACATATCGGATAGACACATCAAACTATGTAATATCTCCCTAACGCATCTGGGTCATATTGTTCACTGATGGTTACCAAAACTTTGCCCACTTTTGGATCAATTCCCGTTTTCATCTGTTTATTTTTGATCACCCACTTGCATTATTTCATGGAGCAAATTAAGATCTGATAATTATCAGTAAATATGAATTTCCTCTGCTTACGTCAAATAATTGAAACTGTAGCTATGATGTGCGTAAGGTATTAATTCAATGCCCATAAGCCACCTATCTTTCTTCCTTAGAATATATAATTTTTTAAATATGTTTTCAATCAAGACGAATGAGAAACACGTGCTGCAATTAATTAAGAATAGCTCATTCTAGCCCCCCACAGAACTTCTCCAGAATTTCAGTTCTAAAACTTAGTGATTTTCCCCGATTCTATGCCGTAAGAATGAAGCAAAAGAAATGTGTCATACAATTCATCGCCCTAACGTGAGAATTCAAAGAAGGAGCAATACCCACCTAACTACTGAGACAAGCCTGGGAGTATAGATTTCGAAGTAATGGAAGTAGGTGAAAGAGAACGAAGTTGTCCTATATGAACATTTTTTCATTCTAAAATAACTGTCAAAAGGATTAGAACACATCAATGACATTGTTATATCGCATTATCATGACTTCTATTACATGCGATATTCAATGAAACGTCGTTTGGTCACGCTACTGTCTGTTCCAAATGCTTTCCCTATAAAGATCCGCGTCATTCTATGACGCCCACATCCCTATGATGAATGCTAAAAAATAAACGTTGTAAAGGCAGCACGATACGCTGATCTCAAAGGGTTAAAGGACAGAGGGGTCTCAGTAGTAGACCTAATGGCGAAAAAAAGCGAGGACAATTCCGTTCAAGATAATAGTATTAGGTTGTCTCAGAAGTTCGTGCGTATTTTGAACTTATGTTTGAGCCCGCTCTTTTCCAAGCACATGTGCAACCTATCATCGTTATATGTACCACCACTATCAGTGACTTGTTACCAACATCCAACCAAGGAATGGCTATTCAACTCTCAAAAGGCTGGCAGTTATGAGCTGAAAAAGGCAGTGAGGTTGATTTTGAGGTGCTCGTGGGAACTGTAAACTACCTCCACACCGTCCGGGAACTGGCCAAGGCAGAATACAGCAAACATCAGAAAAGGATGATACCCTGCAACCCCGCACTAACACACACACGACTTTTTCAGCTAAGGCTCAGTAATTGCACACCACGAACAACCGACATATCCTTCGAACATCTACAGTGTCGACACACACACATTAAATCAAAATTAGAGTTTGGTGACGAGCGTTGATTGGAACACCTTTCATCCGTGAGACTCGTGCCGTGATTGCTGGCCTACCACAATCGAATGAATTCATACTAATGCTTAGACAGTGCCTGAGTGGTTTACCTCGAGGACGCATGGCATCACACACAAACAAAGCATGTGGACACGAATCCTCGTGTGCAATTTTCTCTCAACTACTCACCAACCACAACAACTGTTCAGATCGCCTCTGAGGATTCTAGAACACACTTCAGGAAACATAAGCTTCTCAACCGCAGTAGTGGCTTAGCCGTTCAGCCAGTGTACGGTGGACGTGGAACAATTATGACGGCGTGCCCGCTGTCGCCGACTCCTGTCATCAGGTCGGTGAATTCATGACGGGGAATAATACAATCCGGTGAGGCCCTTGAACACACAACCACCATCGAGGGAAGAGACTTCTAAGAATGTCTCTCGAAAATGAGTTATACGATGGTGGCCACAAAGCAGGGAGCCCCGTGTGGAGTGGCTCCCAGGAAAGAGTACAGGCTCTCCAAATCCGACACTGATGACCTCTCTGAACGAGGGTTTGTCTACCAGCTGTAGTCCCAAAGCAGAGAAGATCCAGCTATTCTGATACCTCACTGTTTGGTGAGGGCAAGGAGATGCCCGGCGTCAGAACGCCAGCTTATTGGGCTTCAAAATCGTTTGGCTCAGAAAGCTGCCTTACCGCAGAGCGCCGAAAAACATAGCTCTTCTCTCTTTCAACATATTTGAGACCACGAAGACGCACGATGGTGGTATACCAGAGTATAATTACTACACAGTGATGCTAAACACCGCCCACCGCGGCATAGTAGAATTGTTGAAGGAGCTTATGGGACGAAAAAAAAGCATGAAGCCAAATAATAGCACGACAGCCCCCTTTTTTTCGAGACTAACCTAAGTACCCTTGATGGCCCTTCATTTTCAACATCGCATGGATAGCGTACGGTAAAGAACGACGTTGTTCGTGGTAACCCGATAGCCGCGCCTAATAAGCAAGAGCGCTTTTGATTGATAAGGGCATTATACATGGGCAAGTTGAAGATACAGCCGATAGGAGGGAAACGATCTCTCAAAATGAAAAGCCAACAGCAGACAGCTCGCCCAAGTCATCATCTGAACAAGTGGGCGTAACGCTGCTGGAGGCGGAGTGCTGCGGAGGTCCTGCTCAGCAACCACAGCACCTTTCGCCGTGGAAGCGCCACACATCGCTTCCTTGGCAGCCAAGTAATTGCTCCGTGTGGCGCAGGTTCTCACCCGATGCGAAAATTCCTTATCTTCCTTTAAAGGTTGCGAATACGATAACGTTTTTGAACATGTATAAAGGCAGAGTTAAAGGTGCGGTAATGAAATAGAGGTTAGAAGAAAGCGTCCAAAAGCAGAGAATTGAGACCCTCACTGTGCTTGTTGCCTTCGGACCGAGTTACGCTTACCATTAGGATGCATCCGTTGGTAATCTGAATCGCGAGAATATAAGAGACAACAAGCTACAAGACACGCCGTCGATACAAATTATATGTCAGAAAGAGTAAACCGAGACAACGAACGCAAACATGCAACAGCCACAACTGTGGGACAGAGTCAATTAGGGCGTACGTTTACCTCATTGATTTCGATCTGAAACCAGTGTGCCAACCAACAGCGTTTATACGCAGCGATAACACAACAATCTTGCCTCCTAATAGCGCCTTGCTACCGCATCCGTTGATGCCTATGTTTCTCTGACGCAGAACCACTTTATTGCACTCACTACCTTTAACGTTGAAGGTACAGAGCTGCTCACGAAGGATGAATGTGTGCCGTTAGGGCATTTTTGGTTCGGGTAGCTACCCTTTCACTTGTTTACATGAATTCAAAATTCTATTCCAAAATTTTTTCATTTCTTTTCCAGTAAAGCTACAAAAAATCGACGTGATCTTCAAGGGATTCGAGGAATAGCCATCAGCGCAGTTGTGCTGTTCCATTTCTTCCCGAAGTATTTCCCAAATGGTCACATCGGCGTTGATCAGTGAGTTCCATTATGCTTATGAGAGGATTTAAAAGGAAATACTCAAAAGAAACAGGACAGCTAAATAGAATAAATAAATAATAGTAAACGAAGAACATAGCCGAAACATCGCGCTTTCTTACTTGAACCTAAATCACATAGTTCCTGCCAGAGATCGACGACTACACGGCTCGCCACGCGTACGGGCCAGCTGTCCGTCCGTGCGAGTGCGAAATGTATGTTAATCAAGAGAGGAGGACTGGGTTGTACTTGGGCCATAGTAGATTTCGTAAACGCAGACGACGGATTCTGAAACGTCTCGCGTTATAGAGGCCCGAGGAGACCCCCTCTCGCTAATGGGTACAGGTTCAGCAACCTCATAGAACCCGATAGTGATCGACTGACTCTGGAGCGAATCACTTGAAAGCGAGAATAAGGTGGCTGTTTGGAGGAAAGAAGTCTCGCACCGTCAGAGAATCTGAGAAAACGACTCGAAACCCACACAATGGGAACTGCAAATAGTGTCTCCTTAAAAAGTCCCTCAGAGATTCGACGGTAAGCACGTCATAGACATGGACGTCTTACTTTGGCCTCTCTAATCTTTGTCGCCACAGACGACGACCACTCGCCATCGACCAACCACAGCCCGAGTCCTCCAGTAGGAGGCGGACTGCGCCACAGCAGGAAGCGCTTTTCAGGGTTAGGCTAGCTACGTGGCGGGTCATTTGCTGCGAGACATTTCTCCGCTCGCTTCGTTCTTGACCTGCCGTACTTTTGTAGTAGGCATGCTTTCCTTTCCTTCACACATCCAACAAATAGTGATGTCCTTCTTCAACCAAACGAGTGACCCCGGAGCGATGGTTACTCGCGCGAGGCTCGGTTCGAGATTTAATCCCAAAACTTGGTCGTGGTAAACGCACAATTGTCACTACACTGCCATCGCCTAATTAAGTTGGCTACTGGATTAGAATCTACATTGCTCTTCGTAGAACAAATCAAACAGAACAAAATTCCGATGACTTTTTTTTTCAGATTCTTCGTTCTCTCTGGTTTTTTGATGTCAATGGTGACGGAGCGAGAGAAGCGATTCAGAGGACGGGAAATAGCCAATTTTTACTACCGCCGCTTGAAGCGTATCGTGCCGTTGTATCTACTTGTGCTTCTGGGTTGTGTTGCCGTTTCTGAGGCGTGCCTATTCGGCTATCTTACATTCCACTAATTGGAATTCTTTCCACTACGCCTCCATTTTTATGACGAATATCAAAGCAACTGATAGCATCAGGGAATATCACCATATGGTGAGTTCTTCATATCACCCCGATAATACTATTTGTAAAAGTTGTTTTTTACTCGCAATCAGTGACATAATGTTGGCGCTGAAGAAAGCCTCAAAGGGACAACCTACCGTCAGGTTCAAAAGCACAAACCCTTCGGCAAGCGGGACCACTGTGTTTCCAACTGCAGATGGCGCCACTTTTGGGCCTCAAAGCGCGTCTGGGAGGTGCTCGGGGCTCATGACTGCAATCACTAAAAGCCGCAACAATTGTATGGACTAGCAAAGGTCAGTGACGCGCGCACTTGGTAGTGCCGCACAGCGTCCAATCAACTGAGTGGTGTTCGCGCATATGAGCGCTTCGTCGTGTCACAAATCGGGTGGCGTGAGTTAAATCCTCCTCCTTAGAGTGATGGCATGGGGATGATTGCTGACATCGGGACAGTAACTCGGAACTTTGGACCGAAGACCCAGACAATTTCCTCATTCTAAGGTGGGATACCGCTAAAATTGAGAGAGACCTTCGCCTCTCCCCTTCACTTGATTTTATCAGCTTCTTTTCGTTCTTATTCCTTTTCAGTCTCACTTCCACTTTCAACTCGAACGCAATTACCATAGTAACCTGATCCTGGAGTGTGCTTTCAAAATGAGCTATAGAGAACAAAAGCAGGGTCAACCGCGTCCTTGAGCAAAGGTGAACGAGGGGATCGTACCTGATGAAATTGGCAGTTTTGCTGTCTCGGAAATGAAAGGAATTCCAGAATACTCAGAGAAACCTTTAAAATTTTCGTTTTATCGCCTCAGCGTTTTAATCTTTGAATACCCCCTCCCTCTATTTTTCTCCCCAGCACCCGCTCGGCGGACGCTTTGTAAGTGGGAGTTTTCGCTGCAACACCAACTTACCCATCCTTCGAAGGAAGGGCTGCGAAGACCTTCGAACGGTACAGTCCCAGAGTACCATGCAGATCACCAAGTTTACTTAGCGCAATGACTAAGTCTCGAAAAAAAGGGTTATGGTTCCATAGTGCTTGACTAGAATGAACAAAAATAGAATACTTACTTAACACATGTTGAGGTTTAGCTTACATCGGCACAAGATTTCTTCACCCATACATGGTCTATATCGGTCGAGATGCAA